AGCTATCGCGGGTAGTCAGTTATACAAGCTTTCTCCTTGGAGCAAGAAGGCCCTGAAATTTCGCGCGACGAGTATTACAGGAACGCAGGTCAGCCACGAAAAAAATGTTAAGTGAAAAACGAACTCGAAAGAAAGCATAGATCTTGAAAAAAGTAGAATCTAGATTTAAAAAAAAACTAAAAAAGGGCAAAAATAATCATCTAAAATTCACTTCCGCGTGTGGATGTAATCGCATTCTTTGACAAGGTCAGAGTGTTCACATAATGGGTGCTTGACGAAGATGCAGCATGCCATGTTTGGCTGGAAGCACTGTAAAGATCAAATTATTACCATTCAGAATGTGATGCACGATTCGTACTTCCAGAAACACTACTCGGAGTTCCAGTGGAACCGAATCATTTGAATTCTCATCAAAAGCATGCTATTATCTACTTATTTAATTCGATCAAGAATTTCAGCAAACACGATAATCAGCAACTAACCGATGTCCCAGCTGCTCTACATAAGGCTCTATTTGGTTGAGGTTTGGTGTTATGGCAAGCTCATTATCTGAAAGAGGGTCATTCACTTTGAATAACAAGTCCTAGAAAACAGAATTACGAGAGGTAAAGATATGGCCATGGAATGGCAAAATAGTAATGAACAGATCTTCACCTTTCGTTAGGAAAATTTCCTTCTTGATATATTTGCCATCAGCGTAGAGCACTTGCCAGAACGAAATTAGCTGCTTGACATCAGCTCGTAACTGTGCATGCATTTGAGTTGGACCTTGTGGTGACAGCCTGATAGGTAGTCAATAAGATTAAGTGAACAGGAACACCGCAGAACACGACCGATAAGGTGTAAATGAGGATTAATTAGCAGGAGCGACACGGAGAATTGGCTTTCTAAACACCCACGTGAAATAATCGAGTGCTGAAGCATAAACTCTCTGTCGAATGACGTTATTCGAAGGCCTGGCGGCAGTTGCTTCACCTTGAAGCATATTGAGCGCGCACGACAGCAGTCGAAATCGGGCACCAACCGCTTCAATGCTTCGTGTGAGAACCACTGAAATATGCCGCAGTGAAGTCGAACAACTTCCAGAATAGTACTTATGAAAAGCTAAAAAAAAGCAAGCAATAACTCTTCAATCTTACCATGCTGTTCAAACAAAGGAGTTGAAAGGGCTGGTGAAGGGGCAATCGTTGCTGGTCCACTTCCTACCACTAGGCTCAATGACTGGGCGAACATCGTTTCCAGAATATCGAGCTGTTCACGGCTGCTGTACTTGGCGACGTCCACCCGCTCAGCGATAAACTAAAAAACGAAGGCTCGAAATCATTGTAGTAAAGCAGTACAGAAGTTTAAAAAAATATGAGTATCCATGAGAACTTTGAAGTAAGAAATTCGATTTCTAGTGAGAAAATATCCCATTGTGAACGGGAAGACTGATAAATGGTGATAAATGGGATATTTATTTATTACATGCACAATTAGCTTTAATTATGCAATGGTGAATTTTGAGGTAAACCCACATCCAACCAGAGTGCATGAGGTTTGTAATGTGGTGGTTTTGGTGGTGACTTCAACTGTTCACACAGAGGTGACGGTGACGGTGCCATTCGCTCGTATATGCCCAGACCCTGGCGACAGGATTCCGTCCACGCACAGCACATTTCTCGAAGAAACTGAAAAAAAAACATCAGCAGCGTAATATCTACACCCATAGCAAGAACACTGTGAAGGAAGATCCTCCAAATATAAAATGTCCAGTTAGAAAACTCACAATATTCTGGATATCTGTTCTTGCGGCCAAAAGCCAATTCCAACTCAGAATACAGAGTTGCATTGTGGACTCATCGAAGCTACGAAGGGGACAGCGAACCAGAATGGAGAGAATACGGTCGTTCACATCTGAAATATTGAGCATTTTTGTTAGATCTACCAATCATTCGTGTGGAGAAACCCCTAGAGGGACGTGCAAAGGGTAGCAGTCTCAAGCGTTTTTTATACTCTGCTTCACGGGCAATTAGCCATGCAAGGAAGAGAAGTTAACTAAAATGCTAACAATGAATTTTCAACCATACCTGATCGAACTTTTGCGTCTGTCGTAGCGTAAGCACCGCGGAACTCTAATTATTCGAATATCAATTCAAATAGTAACGAGCGTTAGTGAAGCTAGCCGTGTTCAAAAAAATCTATTTTGTCAAAAAATGAGACCAAAAACTAAAGTATTTGGCAACGATAATGAATCAGAAGCTTCCGTCACTCCCTTTACTTGCTCAAAACCCCACAAAAGCACACCATAAAATTCATGAATCTACCAATCCATATGGGATGCGCCGTGAATCAATCTCGATTTGGAATATTTAAAAACATCAATGCTAATATCCAACCAATTTTTTGGTTGTGGGAACATCCCAGGTGTAACTCGACACGCTCGCCCTCCCAGACAAATCTCATCCAAAAAAAATAATATAAAATAATGAAAAGCAGAGCTCGCTCGGGCATGATAGGTCTTAACGAAGCGGCCAATGGCAAGCACTGCTTTCCTGATGTCACACCTCTGTTCTGATGGCGTGAATGCAACAACAAGAATAATCGGTAAATTTTGGTACGAGAGAAAATTTAAAATTTCCCATACCAGATTAAAGAAATTAATGAACTTAGTCCCACCTTTCAGTGTCACAAAAAGCGCACTAAGCAGCATGATCGCATTCTGCAGCTCATCTCGCGATCCAGACGCTATGGCTACCTCCAAGTCCCTCTCCAGCCGTTTCACCAAATTGCATTCAGGCGTCTCGTCCTCATCAGCGGCACGAGATGCTAGCACTCCCTTGACCTGAAAGTGTAAGATTTCTCTTCAATTTCACAAGAGATTTTAGTTAATTAGGCGATGACTGCACCTGTCCAAGATACATGCTTCTCATATGAAGAGAAGACAGATACATGCTGGTATTCTCAGAACCGGCGTTTGTGACCGCATCCATCGCAAGTCGCAATGAAGTGTCCGTGGGTGCCCCAAATGTGGAGACATATTCCTGGAAGATTGCAAACTGTCAAAAAAGGATGCGAAATGCAATGCATGAATTTGTGCTTGGTGGAATCGCAAACGTTCAATTTCAGAACATTTTCCTCATTACTTTCGCAACCTGAGCGTAATGTTTAATGTTTCAAGGGGTACTGCGAGCAATTGCCCACAGTACCCTCTTTACCATTGAAAATTACATGTTTAATCATCAAATAGGCCACCGTGGGAGGCGCACAGGCGTCAGTAACACGTGCGCTTGTTCGAAACCGTGACTAACCTATTTTTCATTTCACCTTAGTACCGCGAACAACTGTCCACAGCACTCTTTTTTTTACCCTCGTATCGCATAATGTAATATAATGTAAGTTATTATACGAAGTTATCCGACTTAAAGGACGAATTCACGATGAAAAAGCAACCCATTTCAAATTAACCTAGGGATGGTGAGTGGTACACGAAAGAAGGAAGAACCATGAGAAACGGCCCAGAACCCGAGAAATGGGACCCCTTCCTTGCCCGTTGATTCGAGCATTGATGCGACTCTCATCGCTGTGCCCTCTTCAACACTACGCTCTCTCAGCTATCTAATCACTCGCCACCAGCTTTGAGGCATGATAAGTCGCCGATGTCAAATTTTTCCATGCGAATTGCGCGTCAGTTCGCACCCTCAGGAGTCCGTGGGTCCCTCAAACTAGGTCCGGTTTCCCTTTCTTCGACCTTCATTTCTAATCGTGAATTCCTCCCTCAAGGAATATATCGGCCATAAAAGTTTCTCTTCTTTTTGAGTAGCGGTATTGCACGAAATGGCGGGTGGTCAGCGATGGTCCGATATCGATGACTGGCTGTGCGTGGCAGTGAAAGAGGAAATAAGGGATGACCATCAAAAATCCGAACAGGTTTCACTTCTAGCTGTGATTTGACTTATTCGCACGTGCTTATGGAGAAGTAGTGGACAGGTCGGACGAACATGAACCCGATATGGGGATTACTTAGAAAAAATCCGAATGAAATGAGTGCATCTTCTGAGTGAGTAAGTGATATCACTCCACTACCCATTTTCCATTGTATGAACATCCAAATTATCGTCCGGTTGCCTTTACCAATTAAACTCCGTTTTGAGAACAACAATCAATATTTTTAATGTAGCAGCTGTAACATTGAAGAAGGAGCAAGCAATCTTAGAAATTTTATTCACCAAGAGATTCGGACAGGGTATTTATCCACCTGGTCCCCAAATAGTAAAATGAATGGTTTTGAACGAGTCCGCGCAGGAGCAAAAATCCGTCCGAGTACAAAAAAGTTTGGAAGCAGAAAATGACGAACCAATAAGTGACTATGTGTGATTGACGGCGCCCATTTCATTGCCTCTTGCAGAATTTGCTCGCATCGCTGCGAAAAATCCTTCACCACCATAGTACGTCCTTCGATTGAGTCCTGAAACGACTGAATCCATCCGAAAATGTGTGTTGAATGCCTCACAAATGCTGACCTGCAACTGGATGCTCCAAGGCAGACCCTTCATTGTGAACGTAGACTCGCTACAGGTAGGGTCTTGGACCAGATTCAATTGTAAAGCCTAAAAATGGTAGAAATTTGAAAAGAAAAAAAAACGAAGAAAGTATAGAACATCGTTCTAAAAAGTATGATCAAGTTGGAAGCCATGACTTGGAGCGGTATTTGAGACAAAAATTACTGGGCACGGTTCGAATACCTCTAAAGACTCAAAATAGTCAGAACTACTATAAAATCAGCGAGCCACATAGAAAGCAGCCAATCAAGCAATTAGCAGCCTGCTAACTGAACTTCACGAAGAGTGCCCTGCCAGAAGTAACAAACCCAAAACAGAGGAGCTAAAAGATGGAAGAATCAAGACTCCTTTCCGGCTCTTAAGAAGCCTCTTCGTTGAATGTGGAAGAGATCAGTACCCAGCTGAGCAGCTGCGTGACCAGAGCAAAATCTCAATTAATATTCTCTGTAGGGAACAGGCTCGAAAACCAAGGAATCACTTTTAGGAATACAAATTGAACAAACCTGCAGGAGTCGTAACGCTGTCGTCAAAACTCTTCCACTCCAGAGGAGGTATGGGAATTTGTCTACCAGCCTAGAGAGACAAGCATCGG